TTCAAACTTCACTTCAATTAAAAGCAACGCAACCAAAAACCTTTTACAATCACATGTTGAAATTGCCCTCGAGAGTTTCCTCCAATTATCACTGGTCGCCTATGGGCACCAACAGTTTTGCATCCTGCACGATGAAGGAAGTCTAAGACGACTAACGAATAGAAACCTAACAAGAAGCAGCGCTAAGCCAAAATTGATTGATGTGTAAAATGGATGTTTTCGATTTCCAAGAGTTGCTATTTTCGAAGATTTCTCAATCGCCGATGCTAACAGCACTCATATGCGATCTGCAAGGGTTTCAACTGATTTTTCACCATATTGAATCAATGTATTTGACGACAATGTGAATCAAGTTCTCCATTTTCCACACACTATTAACTACTGCGCGGTAACATATCAAATGACAGGTACGGAAAGCCATGTCAATACTTTCTCAAATTAATTGTGAAAGTTGAAATTGGCTTTCACGACAACAATTTCCAAAAGCTATGACTAAGAAAAACAAAACTTGGGAAAGCTAGATAAAAAATATAATATATTTTTTCATTAAAGCATTAAATCCATTCGTGGATCGATGATAATACAGAAAGCATCACGGAATCTTGCGTCATTGCTTGTGGACGAAGCATTATTCAAATCAGGTGCACGTGTGATCAATGTTTAATAAGAATGTTTAGTATTAACGTTGGCCATTTAAGCTGATTTGGTTGTTCTAATATCTAGTGTTTCCGATCAGCTTGTATTCTGAAGGAGCTTATTAACCTATTTGAAGCACGGTTTTGTAAATATGTAACACTACAAATATATATATGATGAATATTGATGAACAATATTTAAGGGAACGATGTGATGAACAATATTGAAAGGAAGCCCATAATTTATTCAAAAATGATGCATAAAGAAATGTTGTTGTGACAATCAAACTTCACGGCAAAGTCAATATCTGGTCCATGTCCCGTGAACATCGATGCAGGCACATCTTCTGAACATATTTGATATCAAACGTGGTATCCTTCGCCATTCTGCGGGAACACTGAGGTCGGTTGCGAACCTTTCGGTCCAGAACACCCAAAAGACTTTCAATGGATAACATGTCTGGTGATTTGGCTGGCCAGGGCAATGTTGTGACACTTTACCCCCTCAGACAGTCGACTGCAACACCAACTCTGTGAGGAGTGGATCTCAACAGTTCAGAGCAAATACGTGCCGGGCAAATGGGATGACTGCTGGACGTAACATTTGATTCACAAAACTTGGACGCGTCATGTTCTCTTGCACGATCATCAGATCCGTCCTATTGACGTATGTGATGCCAGCCCAGACCATGATGTTGCCACCGTCGTACCTATCGTGCTCTTAGACTGCTGTCGGATAGTACCTGTCTCCACGCCGTCTCCAAACACGTTGTCTACCATCTGTAAAGCGTAAACAGAACCTCGATTCCTCAGAAACCATGGTGTATTTCCAATGCCGCCGCTGTCGACCGTCAAACTGATGTGCCCTCTGTCCTCTGAGGCGTTTGTGTGCCACAGTCACAAGCATTCCTCTGAAAGGATGTCTTGATTTCAGACCTGCAATTTTCAACCTGTTTCGTAACGTTGACGTTGAAAGTGAAAGTGACGTTGTCACTCAGCTTTGGGGCAGAAATGAATCTATTTCTCAGAGCAAGGGTGCGTACATATCGACCATACCTTGGAGTAGTCTGTCCAGGCCTTCCTCTACCAACCCTAGTCTTAAATACACACGTTTGCCGATATCGTTCCGTCATTCTGGATAACTTAGATTTACTTCAGTGTCTGGCACCTGCATTCTGATCGGTCATTTCTCAGCATGCCGTTTGTGCGCATCGTTTCATATTCTGTCACGCACACGTTTGCATGCATTTTCGAAAGTTGTACCCGATCAACGAACGATGTGGTTGTGACGTTTACTTCCACATGCAAGCTACCACGATATGTCCCCGTAGACGGTATGTTTTTCATGTGCAATGTGCAAAGTTAGAGCGAGATTTTATCAACGTTCAGAAACTGTATTTTCTGCAACAAATCTGGTCATTTCCTTCTTGTAGCTGTTAGGGGTCCCCATAAATATTGCTCCTCGTACATGGCTGTGCGCCATACTAGCTCACTGTTGATGCATACACTTCGATCACCACACTCAATTACATAACTTCTATACGGATATATAATTTACTGAGAAAGGATCCTGTGGAGTTTGTAAGGACTCAACGTTATCATTAATTTCGTTTGAAATTACTATGTTCCCACCCCACCTTCATCCTCTTTATTTGATCTTTCACATCAGCTCAAAAGTAATTTCAGAGCCATAGCTGCACAATAGCTGAACAGTAGGTGGTACAGCACATCTTGTAATGGGTGTAATAAGCGTCGTTTATTTTATCCTGTGATCTACCATGAGTAGAGGCACATATGCATTCCAAGTGATATGATCACTACGATTTGTATCCTAGAAATACATCGTAACAATAGGTATCCGATTTTTTCCATCGTTACAATAGGATGTTATACATCGAAGCAAAAGCATTTTATACATCCGAACACCTGGATTTTATATATCGTAACAACAAGAGTTAAATTTGCATCGTAACAATATGATTATGTATTGTAACATTAGGATGCTGCAATATGATTTTATATATTGTAATATGATTTTATACATTTTAACAATAGGATTTTCATTTGTAAAATGTGAGTTTCATAGTCAAAACAGGAACTTGCATCGTAACAAAACGATGTTGCAACGTTTTGAGAGAATTTGATACATTGTCACCATTGTTTGATACCTTGGTTCGTTCTGCATACAACGTATATGAAGGCTCGTTGGGGTCAGTAAGCAGACTTTACAATTTCTCTAATACAGACTCCCTTTCGAATTCAAAGATTGACTAAGGAATTATTATACACATGTGTTAATACTTAAATGGGGACTATGCTCCACAATAAGATATGGTCCCACTTTCTGGTCAAGTCGTTCTGGTAAGACATTGTCTTTGTGAAATTAGGGTACGCATCAATTGATAGACTGATACTATCAAAATTAAGTTTACAAAGAAAGTGGCCTTTAAAGACTCTAATTAAATGTTTAATGATAACATAAACAAGCTAAATAGAAGTTATGTTCTGGGTTAAATACCATTCATATACTCCGGCAGTCTACGGTTACCATGGTTACCAAATATACTGTATGTTATTTATGTAATAAATTGTGTTTATCAGCGCAACATTTTCTTCTAATGAAGAAGTGACCCAACAATCCACTAAATCTCGATATTATCCCCTTGATATCTGTAGATTTTCAGTTTAGTATAAACTGTTTGTGTATCTGAGGAAAACGGAAACTATAACAGGTGGTTTCTAAACACTTATTTCTAACTTGATAAGCAGAGGTAACTAAAAAAAGATACTTTAGTATGTTTCAAAACATCCAACCAACGAGACGCGTACGCCGCAGGAGCATGTAATGTAACTGGTGGCGATATGCGACTGAATGGTTCGGTACTGTACGTAAATCTATGAAGAACCATACAGATGTATATCTCAGACATTATGGAAAGAGCAGAGGGAATGGAAATCAGTTAACGAATTCACGAGTGTGTCTGTGTGTTCCCACACCTGCTCAATACCATCTACTAAAGCAATTAGATCATTTAATTAATCTATTTGTGCCGAATTTAAAAATGTTCGTCCCACGAGTCTGCCAGTCTGTTGATGTAGTCACAATAGCAACCGGCTGTGTATGATAGCTCAGGAAATGAAAGCAATCCCTTCCGGAAGTTCATACCATTATTCTTGTTCATTAGACAGTTGTAAGCTCCAGAAATCCTATGCAATATTGGGCACCGGTACTAGCCTGATTGTTCATAATAGCGCCTTGCCATTGGCTATTAGATAGGTTGGTGTAATCAGACAATCAGGGTGACTTACAACCGCACAGGTATATTGGGATCTAGACAGGTTGACGGGAAATTCCACACACGCATACACAACGACATACAAACATACTGATAGAAGCTGGACTGACTGAGTGACATGTGGTGAACGAAATGGTAAATGTAGATGAACTGATATGATAATCTGTATACATAGGAAGATGGATGCCGGATAGAGCTTGGATAAATAAATTGCGATTGGAAAGATATTGAGCGAGTAAAAAAATAGATGATATATAGAAATATTGTTAACTGATGGATAAAGTGGTAGAACGATAGATGATATAAGGAAAGATAGTAAACTGATGGATAAAGTGGGTAGAAAGAAAAATGATAGATGGGAAGATGGTGAGCTGATGGATAGAGAGGATAAACGGATAGATAGAAAGATTGACAGCTGATGCTAGAGCGGGTAGACAGACAGATGATAAGAGAAAGATGTGAGCGGATGGTTAGAACGGGTAGAAAGGAAGATAGTCTGCTGACGGATAGAGGTAGAAAGATAGATGATAAAAAGCTGATGAGTGGCTTGATAGCAGATAGATGGATAGATAGAACGATATTATATTGATTGAAACCTGTGGAAATGGACGTTTATATGGAAATAAAAGAGGGAATCACAGACGGGTTGATAGACGGAAAAATAATTGATCGATGGTTGCATGATCGACAAACAGATCTGTAGAGGTAGAGCTACATCAGTGTATTACATATGTTACGCTCCGTCTATTCAATCATTTCCAGTTCATCATTCAATCATTTCCAGTTCTCTACGGGCCTCGGCATGACCATTGCCATACTGGGGCTTCTGGTTTTGGAGGATTTGCACTCGAACCTATTTGTGATAGGCTTTTGCGCTTAGACACAGGAGATATTGTCATCAAAGGGGATAGATACCAGGGTTGAACAGGAATCGATATGTACAACTGCAGCTCTGTGACTGATATCAATAATCAAGCATCTAGGGCATCCTTCTTGTTACATAGTTGATATCACAGAGAGGCGTCTCATCATGCTGCCCTACGAACATCAAAGAAGACTCGACACTTACCCTAAGATGTCGCTTGGTCTGTTTGTGCAATGTCTGCAAAACAAGTCACATACTAATAAACGGGATGTAAGAAGATTGGAAATCTTAAAAGAAATATCAAGGTTTTGTCATCTACAAACTTCAAACAAATGAGATTGGAAAATGAGAAAGCGAATAAGCTGAAACAGTTGAAGCTGACTGAAGCATATATGTATGTCCATGCAATATCCTCAATCGATGCTACATTACCCTAAGTTCAAAATGTTATAGGTTGGTGTATATGTCACACGTACCAAAAATCAATTATGCCTCTCTGATAAAATGCATGTCTTTAAAAGCAGGCGGCACTTCTATCAAATTTATTAACAGTCCGACTAAGAATAGCTTATCCTATTATGAAAACTGCAATAAATATGTTCTAAGCTAATTTTCCAATCCGGAAATATTGATTACACTGTGAAGTCCAGATTGCTGCGTTGTCGCAGTGTATTTCGCGTGATGTCGGTAAATGCCTCTGGCAAGCTTAATATTGGTTCAATATTTTGATGCATTAAGGACTTTGAAACTGACTTGGCATGGCAAATTACATCGGCTTTCATTTCACAAGTTACGTGTAAAATGCCAGTTTGCGATTACCCTATCAGAAGTGTGGCGATTCGTGTACAGTTAATTAGTTTTTAAGATGTGATATCTGCATTTTATCAGTTTTATTGTGCACGACTCCCAACGTTCAAGTTTCGATACACATCAATTTATTTTTTAAGTTTCTTGGGACATTATTTTATTATCTTATATTAATAGTTCCATGCGTGCGTGTTTGCTGTATAGCGCTGCTTTCATCAATAATACCGCTATATTATGGCGGCATGTAATACCACTCAATCCAGTGATTGATATGGTGAACACGCTGCCGTGGTACGATGACGCGCTATCAACCAAGTCACTGACCCTGACTACCCGATGCAATAAGTCGCCTCTCACGATCAGCAATACTTCTGTGTTTAGCAATAGTTCTAGTTTAGATTTGAGACCTTACTATGTTATAGCCTTCTCGTGTTTCATATTGTGCATATTTATAACGCTTTTAACCCACACCCTAAAGCATGCTCAAAGCGCAACATCATTACCCCGTTCAACGAATTACTGTGCACTCGTATTCATTCTCAGCTTCCTGGAGAGTATACAACCCAAGCAGTCTGTCAGGCGGTAGGCTAACTTTCACATATCACCCTACCGGGTACCCCTTCAAGACACATGCTCTATGCAGCATGCGCCTCAGTGTTTGTCAGAGCCGAAGCCCCAGAAGATGCCAGGAAGCAAACCGAGCTACCGAACACTGTCACCCATGCAACTACTCTCCGCTACCAACGTCACTTAACTTCGTCTGATCTGTGACCTGTGTGCTTTTCAAAGGACCACGTGCCACCCCATTCCCACCAACAAATGTGACTCTGGTCGTATATGTAGAAACATGCACTCTCTATTATACAAGTTTAATTGTTTCCTATCATTTAAAGCTGTAGTGCACACCTTTTAACCTGTATATTCATCAGAAAGCTTCTGTAATAACAAGCCAGCACGCACAGCTTATTTACATAACAATATCATCGACGAAGTCTTTGTTGGCATATTTATTGCCTTGCCGATATATCACCAAGGGAACCACACTGACATGGATATTAGGGCATGGATTTATCGTCAATAGTGTAATTGGTTGTTCCATCATAATTTTATAATGTGAAGTTTACACGATCTTCGGTTTGTCCATTGGACGAGAGGTCGGTCACATGACCGCGAAAATGAGTTCATAAGTGTATGAAGGACACATTTTGTCACGAGACTACTCTTGCAATGACGTAACCACTGACGGACTACTTGCACATTCCTGGTGAAACCCTTGGAATTCCCCAGCAAGAATAAATACAGAAGCCTTGTTTCTCATCATTTTGAACCTTTAATCTTGAACTCAGCGTGTTAGCATACATTGGGATAACTCAGAGAGTTTGACTGCATGCCTGTTCAAGGATTTCCTCGCTACAAACCATCCTAGAGAACAAAACTAAGAAAAACACATCCAAACTATCGTAGTATCGACTCGATCCGTGCCAAGACTACAGTGACAGTCTACACCAATCTATGAATTTATCTTAGTATCTATTTGGTGCATCTTTACAAGCACCTTTCAGTGATGACTAACACGTGTAATAGCCACAATATCATTAACAATTTCGGAAATCTCTCCCGTCACGTTTATCGTGTCGGCCATTTGACGTCTTGTACTTGATGTACCTGTATTACAACGCGCTATGACTGTGTCTGACTTACTGAGGTAGTTCATAACAGACCTTTCTCATCTAATGATGATATTATTTCTTGTAATGAAACTACAAACGTTATTCCTGTAGAAATGTTGGGCATACATACGCTCATGTTACCTCTCGTTTTCAGAAACTATTTATTTCCGCGATACGGCTGGTTGTTGTATGACTTTCAGTGTAAACATGAAGTCACAAGTACTTAATATATTTGTGTATAGAACTAGGTCTATAGGTCTATAGTTCATACAATGTTTGGCCCTTAATCTATGAAGGTTCATGTTCCAATGAACTCAAGAAGTCATTTCTTAAATCACTTTACAGATACACTTTCAGCACCAGTATTAATAGGAAGAATACAATATTGAAGATAATTTTGACATTCAAAACATAAAACCAGAAAGCTATTTCTTGTTCGAGTCAATATATTGTCAACTTTATTTAGTAATAATGTCATACAAATGTCAACAAATGCGTCTCAGAAACTTATTGTGGAACGATTGACATATTCCATGTGTATTTATAAACGTTCGAATTATTTATGTTTAATGTTTTGACACGCAAATCACAACACTCAACTATAGATTGATGGCTATGAAAGGATAGCTTTAGAAATGTCTGTAAATGGCATTATCGATGATGAGAATAGAATCCCAGTAAAGGGTTATATTTTTGTACATTGTGCATCCATTATGCAGAATCCATCACAGGCAGCATTATCCTGATGTCGAATATTACTCGATATTTCAAATCATCCACTGAGCACATTGTGCTCTCACTGACAATTGAAGAGAAAAAACATTCTAATGTGTTATGCATGACATACGGATGGAATTGACGTGTATCTCACTGTTAGTCAGGACGGCCAATGCATCATCTACAACACAGCCATATCAATAATATCTTTGAGACAGATAATGCAATTATTTTTATTGGGTCTCATTCTTGCGTTTCTTGACGACAATATATTTTCACGCAGCCGCAGAGCACACAGATTACATTTATACCTGTATAAGCAGGACAATGCATAAATAACCAATAATAGATTGACATAGCTAAATATCATGGCATGTGAGTGATTGCATCAGATTAAAAACTACAGCTGGACGCCATAGTGACGTTCTTGCAGAACCCTGTTCGTTCGTTTAGATCAGGTCAGGTTATGCCTTTTCATTCGAAACTGTTATTCTGTTGAATTGATGCACTTAGTATTTCTAAGTTCTACAACGCATGTTCTAGGTGCATGGCAAAACACATCGCGTACGTCAGCAATACGTATATGTTCATAATGCAGACTGAGAAGAGACCAGTGTTATTCTAAAGCCTCCTATATTGTGTATGTGTCATGGTGTCATATTCGTGTGCATATATTTGCCAAGATATATGGGACTTTGTGACTCAAAGTCACCTGTTTTCCGTATCCAGTTCTTGGGTTTGAAGAAAGTTATTGCCATGACACAAATGTTGTTTTTAGAATGTACATCGAGTGTTACGTAGAGTTCATCTGGCTTGGCAACTCATGTGTAATACCTTTGTAGTATCAGAAGTAATATTGGCCCAGAAGAAGGCCTGTTTGAATCATGAGTAATGTGTGGTACGAGATCAACTTTTTCTTGTTGTATATGAAAACTTGCAAAGAGGTCGACCGGGTGATGGAAACTAGTAAACCCACGAATGACAGGATTATCGTTTCGAATTAAACTATGAATTGTTTATGGAGTACCGTAGATCTACTATATTGTCCGTTTCATATTTTGAATGTCAACCAACTGGTAATGGTGTTGATTGTCAATAGACCAACTGATGAAAATGTATGTCGTTGAGTTTAACGTATCGTTTTTTTAAGGCTACAAATAGAACATGAGAAAGAGGAAATAGCCTCGAGTGAAATGTGAAGCTTGTACAACCAGCAAAAAACACTTTCAAAACACGTTTATGAATATATCATGTGACTGCCAGATATTAACAACAGTCGCCATAGCGAAGATTCGAAGTTAGGAGCGACACATGAATCAATACATCTGAGTGACAATAACTACATAGAAGGAAACAATGACGTGATCATACTGTTCTGTCCTTTTACTGGGGACAAAGGCTTGACTGTAATAATCTGGTGTATTAATCAGGGACCTGGCTTTCACGCGATAACATATTCTCAAAATATCCCTTTACATCATAGACCTAAAAGCAAATTGGAAATATCCCGTACAGACAATGTCCATTGAAACGTCATCACTGATTTCCTTTGTGGTTTGATAGTCATTCTATTATACATTGGCTACGAGATATCCACCGTGCTGCAGTCATCGTTTATCTGTCAAATGTAATTTGACATTTTTGCCAAACTCCTCATGATGGACATGGCGTCATGTACCGACTTGTATTTAGTATTTTACCGGACATATGTTGGCTATTACGTTCCGTTTCATGACACTCAACAAATGTATCGAGTCCATGATTGGCGGTTTATATGATAAGACCTTTTAGCACTGACATGCCTGAGTCATTTCTGCCGTAGGTGTGTCGTATCTCCGGGAAAGTGTATGTCGCAAACAGGATACGCGTCAGGGATGGTAATTTAATTCACTATAGTGTCCATATGCCGATGAGACTTTGAAACATGCCCAAGGGTCGTAAATCGTATTTACGAAAATATTGCTCTCATCATTATCCATAACAACGTATAGCGGAGAACGCCTTGCTGGAACGAGACCACTAATATAATAATTGGGGTTCTTT